GACCTTTGCCGATGCGGGTATCATTCTCAAGAAGCTCGACAAGGCCACACTACTGGCTTCTACTCCTGAAGAAACGTCAACTGGTTCTTCGAGTGATGAGGGTCTGCGTCGCCCGGGTTTGGCTCGCTCCCGTACCGCTCCCGCCGCTGCTGTGGCAAAGCCCAAGCCCACTCTCCAACCCGAAGTAGCACCCAAGGAGAGAAGGGCAGAAGTCACGACGTCTCAAATTGGGCTCGCCATCACGACTCTTTCAGGTAGCGAATCCGACGCGAGTGACTCTGGCAAAGTGAGACTCACCAAAGGCTCCACCTCTAAATCAAACGGCAGCAATGGTCCCAAGCGTCTCGCGCGCCCACCTCCAAACCCAATGGGCCGAAGCCGCAGCCAGAGTGTCAACTCCTCTCAATCAAAGCTGCACAACCCCTTTGCTGATCCATCCGACTCCATCTTGAACCATAGCTCCGGATCTAACTCGCAAGAGCTTGGTCTGGGCAGACGAGGTAGCGAGAATACTAGCGAAGAGTCGTTAGCCGCTATTAGGAGGATCAGCCGCAAGTTCCCCGCTTTACCTATGGCCGTTGAAACTGGCGGCAAGGTAGTCAGTTTGAGCGAGGTTAAAAAGACGCCTCCTTCGACAGAAGCTGGATCCGCTTCTAATTCAAGCTCCCGCAAGACCAGGAATAGGTCGCTCTCACAACCCCAGCTCGTCAAACTTCCCGGCTCTTCAGCAAACATTCACCCAATCTCACCTACAAATTCCACGGATGGAGACGTGGCCATCCGAACGAGAAGACGCCTGCGTACACACCTGGACAATATCTCTCCACCAACCTCTATCGGTGGGACGGAGGATTTGCAACAGAGTACGGGTACGGCAACCGCACCTTCTACAGCCACCTCTCTCTTCTCTGGACGTTTCACTGGTAACATGACGAATAGTCGTCAAGCAAGCAGAAGCCAAGATGAACAAAATTGGTCTCCTGTGACTCCGTATACGGTTGATAGCATCTATTCAGATGACGAATACTCATCAAACGTGGTTACCGAACGTCCCATTGGCCATATTGCACGTCGAGCTTTGGGAATCGAAAAATTCCTGGGCGAGGAAAAGGAGAAACTGGACGCGGTTTCTTCAGACGGACACGGCAACAACAATGACCGCTTTGTCAATGTTATCAAACCCGATGGATCGAGACATAACCCCAGTGTCCCTGTCGATGTTTCCGATATACAAGCATATCGAGCATCCGACGTCATGTTCCTCTCGCCCACCTCGTCGACATACAGAGTTCGGCCAAGGTCGAATGTGGACTCGCTATTCCCTATGACCGTCTCCGCGAGGTCTACAATGACACAGCCATCGCCACGTCAGAGTCAACGAGGTAGAAAGCGAAGTGGGACTACCGAGTCGGACGCAGCCGCTCGAGAAGCCTTTGCGGCCGCATGGCGTACTGTTGTTCCCAATGTAGCTTCGCCTAGCGTCTCTGACCTCAAGAACGTCAATTCTGTCAAAGTGAAAAAGACGCCGACTCTGATCATGCACCGACAGGTCTTGAGCGGAACTAGCATGCTGGTCGATGAAGGTTATGCTACACACCCAACCACTAGCATGACCAGCCTTGCGATGATGGAACCGGAAAGGGGACGTCAGAGGAGTGGAAGTAAATCCTCAGAAGGGCCGATGAACGATCGGGATCTCGTTAGGAAAGCGAGAAAGATGAGGGCCGCGTCAGTAGACTCTGAAGTCTACTAGTTTAATCGTCTAGGCCGTCCATTCGTTTTATTCATTTTAACAAAGAACAATACCCAACTTGATCTTTCTTTTCCCATCTCACACGACAAGATCAACTAGTCGCCTTGTTTGTACAGTAGTTAAGTGACTATAGGAATTTCAGTGTCATCTTAACGGATATTTGGGCAACGTATACATCTAAGGTCATCTCCTATTACACTAAGTCAACGATGTCACCGAAACTGAGGAAATTGTGAAGCAAAGGCCTGCGACGCACGAAGTGCTTTCCGCATTAGAGTGGCACCCTCTCCTAGATCCTTTCTCTGTAATACTCTGGAGAATTGTTGACATACGACCAATGTTGGTTCCGGAGGGGTGGCTCCTTTCGCCTTATCAAGGAAGAGTGATAAGCGGAAACTGGACGCTATGATTGTCGCGAGAGTTTCTATATGAAGAGCGTCTGGAGAGGCCATTCTGCCCAAGACGTTGGGTATACATGATAGGACGAATAAAGGGAGGAGCCATGGTTGGGCTCCATCTTTTTGTGCACCATAGGACAAGGCATGAGCCACAATTCTTTGAGCGCTTTCACCATCTCCTAATTGAGCCGTGTTATATACCTCGGTGAATAGTCGCAAAAGAAACTCTGTGGCGCTCATCAGCTCCAAACATACTGGAATGTCTAAAGTAACCGCCTTGTTTGAACGAATGGCCAGGAATGTAGCGCGGATCATGACAGCAGGAGCGAGCTTGTGAGAATAAGTGGCCAATGTCGCTGAAAACCTCTGGATTAGAGGGATCACATGTATTTACGCCGTACTCACGTTGATCTGCTATAGACTTTAGGTTGTTTCCCAAGGACGTGGTAATTTCATTTCTGAACTTGGCCGTTTCATCATCCATAGGATTGGAAAGGACTCGCATCAGGGTTCGCTGCAACAGCTTCATCAAAATTGGTGTAGATGCTGCTATGACTCTTTGCAAGATATCGGCGTGAGTTGGGGCATGAGGCCTGCACACAAATCAGCTAGCTTTGTGGGACGGGGACCGCTTCTCACCCTTTTCTCTCTAATTGTAGAGCAATACAACGAACTACACCGACGAGTGTCCAGCTTAGCAAAGGATCTTGAAAGTAGCTGATTCCATTTCGTAAGCTGTCGAGCTGCTTTTGATCGGCACCTCGATGTTCACAAGCTCGTATTGCTTCGGACACGAGTACCGGAGAAAGTTTGATAAGAATCTTGGGGTTGTATGACCTAGTTGAACAATATGAGGACGATGAAATCGATGCCAATTGGCTCCTCCCACCTTACTAGAGAATCGTCTACTCCATCACTATTAGGATCAAACAATGCTTTATACCAGTCTTCATATGCCTTTGTTTCCTCGAGATCTAAATCACTCTTGCGCTCCAAAACTCTCATTGGAATCACATAATTAGCGTCGAGATGTTCATCTGGGTCCTCGAGTGCGGTAATATTCAACTTGAATCGTCCAATAGTAGATTGGAGGAATAAGATGATATTTCCAAAATAGGTCAGGGATGTTTGTGGATCATCTGATCATATTCAGCATTTCATTCGGGAACAA